TCAGCTAAAGCTGTTTGGGGAATTACCTATACTATTTTGGTGGTTCCTTATTATAGCTATAATATAACCTACTAATCTAACCCCAAAACCTTATTCTAATTATTAGGGCCCCTACAATAGCCCCAATCCGCAATCCACACAAGAGCTTTACTAGTGTTCTAGAACACCAGACCCGAAAAGTTAAACCCAAGAGGTTGATCTATACATGTGCTTTATGGTAGGGTTTAGGGTTTAGGGTTTAGGGTTTAGGGTTTAGGGATTTATAGGAGCCATGGAGTTCCCGACGCCGGATCTCGCTCAGATTCTTCCCGAAGCTGTCATGAGGGAAAGGTACCATCAAGGGCGTCCGAGGTCTTTGGTGTTTCAGTTCTTGGGGTACATAGGAGATTTCTAGGGATTCGACAATCCCGTGGCAGTTTACTCTGATTTTTGGTGAGTTCCGGAATTCTGCGGCACTGCGCTGTGTGACCGGCACAAGCCTTTTCAGTGATTTTCTAAACGCACTTATAGAACGAACCAGATCCATGCACATATAGAACCCCTCTAATTAAAACCCCAACAATTAAAGCATTAGGTCCTGAAAGCCCTAATTAAACCCTAAGCCCTAAACCCTAAACCCTAAAGCCCTAAACCCTAAACCCTGAACCCTAAAAGCCCTAAACCCTAAACCTTAAACCTTAAGCAGTGCCAAGGTGACAGTAGCCGAGGCGTTGAGCCTCGCAAGAGAGGCGACGCAGGAGCGATGGTTTCGCGCGACGGGGCTTCGGGATGGAGGATTTAGCGTCTACCGTTTAGGGTTTCAGGGTTTAGGGGTTTAGGGTTTAGGGTCTTTTGGGGTTTAGGGGTTGGGGGTTAGGGGTTAGGGGTGAGGGGTTGCGGATTTTGGGGTTTAGGGGTTTGGGTTTAGGGTTTAGGGGTTTAGGGTTTTAGGGTCTTTTGAGGTTTAAAGGGATTCGGATTTACGTGCAAGGGTTCGGGTATGGGCTGCTTCGGCAAAACCTCAAAAGCCATGAAGGCTTCACTCTAAATCTTGAACCCTAAACTCTAAGCTCATATCGGGGATGATGCGGCTAACTTCATTTTTGACCACAAGTCTGCATGTTTCATTTTTAAATTCTTGTGCAAGCCCAACATGGGCTGGACATGCGGCGGAGAGTTCCAAGTCCACCCCACTCCCCGAAAGCTCGTGTACCTTCGATGAGAGGCTCGTTTCGAGGAGCCTGAGTTGCGGACCCTGGCTAAGCCGTCGATCACAACTTCCAGCCATGTCCTAGGAGCACTGCAGTTGGAACGTGCATGGGCGCATGCGGCGAGGGTAGTGGATCGGAGAGAGCCTTGATTGGCCGGCGCCTCCCACTAGCTGCAGGCCCCAGACCTGGCCACTGCGGCACGACAGAACGCCTGGAGGCAGACGCCCGCAAGATCTACATGGACTACGATGGAGCCAAAACCCCTGGGATGGATGGGTTGAGGCCCCTAAGGCCCTAAAGTCGTTACCAACCAATCCTCAAGCGATGGCCGGTGACGCTCGACTACATGCAGCTCCCCGTGAACAGACCTCACGACCTGCAGTGAAGGCGAATCGCAGGGTTCACAAGGCAGAAGTACCTGGATCGCCAGCAAGAGTCGATAGATGGTGGTGTGTTATTATTATAGTATAGTATAGTAAAAACTAGAACATTATAGTATAGTGTAGTCTATTATAGGATATTGTAGTATGTTAGGATTTCAGTGCGTCGCTGATCCCCGCGACTTTGAATCCTGAGCACTACGGCTGAATCCTGAGTCCTGAGCCCTTAACATCCTAAAGACCTTCGGGGTTTAGGGTTTACCTTAAGAACCCAAAACCCACTTTCTTGTAGGTTCTTATTATAAACCCTAATATGGGATTTATAGGGACCCTACAAAAAAGCAGGTTTTGGGTTAGGTAGGGTTTAGGGTTGACTAAGCCCTGCGCCCGTACGCCTTTGAACTGCAGGGCCCTGAACCCTGCACCCCTACGACTTAACCGTGCGAGTTTGAAGCAAGAGCTGCAAGCCCTGCATTATTTCAACTCAAGCCTGAACCCTTCTTAAGTCCTCACTCCTACGACATTGAAGAATACGATGCTATGCCCGAGACCCTGCCCGCCCCTTCGAGGTTGAACCCTAACTCTTAAACCCCAGATTGTACGGCTTCGAGCCCGGGGTTCGTAAACCTGACACCTGCGAGATTGAAGCCTAGCCCCGAGCTCTAGTTCCACGAGTTGGAAGCTCAAGCTCAAAACCCTGAGCTCTTCGCCTTCGAAGCTGAGAAGCTCTACGACTTGGAAGCTTAAGCACTAAGCCCTAAATCCTACGAATCCTCCGGGCTTGGACGCCCAAGCTCTAAACACTACCCCTAAGGGTCCGAGTAGTCCTTATTTATGGTTTTAGGTGCCCAAAAAGGCCCCAAAGTCCTTAAAGAATGGGTACCTGGACCCTTAGGGTACGACATTTCCCTTGCCCCCAAACCGAAAGCTGACTCTCCAGACTCTCAGGACAGGACCCGATAATCATGAGTAGAGCACTGTATTCATTGCAGCCGAAAGCTTAAATCCTACGCCTTAAACTCTCCGTAACACCTTATATACACATCGTGCAACAACCTTGTAACTGGTTCTAAACACCCTGAAAAAACTTACAAAAGCCTTTGACACGCCCTGCGGTTTCCACCCCGTTAACCAAAGCCGTTGTTCATCAGGCAAAGGGCAGTCTGAAAGGTTCTGCGTCAGCCCCTAAACCCTAAACACCCCCCCCCCCCCGGCCGGTTCGGGAGGACGCCGCTGAACAGCGCTTCCAGATCCAACGGTTTAGTGTTTAGGGTTTACGGTTACCCTAAACCCTAAACCCTAAACCCTGTCCTTAGGGTTTACTTCGCCTTGAACCTTCAAGCCCGTCTATAGAACCCACTCGTACAACCCCAAACCTTCAACCCCCCAAAACGACCTAAACCCTAAACCCTCCAAAAACACCCGAAACCCTAAACCCCATAAAGAGAGCCAAACCGCAAACGCTAAAGCACTAAAGCCTAACCTCAGTAAAAGGAACCCCTAAACCCTAAACCCTAAACCCTAAACCCTAAAAAAGGAACCATTCAGGAACCCAAGGGCCATATGGTTTCCAAGCTGTTTGCAGGAAGGGCCCGGCACGGGGGAGTCATGGACGAGGCCGCCGGGCCTTTGTTGGGGATCCGTAGGGTTTAGGGTTTAGGGTTTAGGGGCATGAAGGGTCCGGGGTTTGAGGGTTTAGGGGTGCGGTTTGTGAGTTTAGGGCTTTGGGCTTCGTGTTCAGCGAGGTATCCCAGCAAACGGGGTCCATCTTTCGGATCCTTCAAAGAGTCTGAGTTGAGACTGGAGCGCTAGGCGTCCATGTTTGACGGTTTGCGGATTTTCTTTATGAGGGCTTCGGGTTTCAGGGATATCAGGGTTTAAATGAACTCAGGCTTTTGGGGTTTAGGGGATCAGGGGTTCAAGGTTTAGGGTTTAGGGTTTAGGGATAAGGATCAGGGGGAACTTCCTGGGCTGTCAATCGAGGGTTGGATAGCTTTAACTCTAGTTGAGGATGTCCGACTTGCAGCCGTGCCTAGAACCGCTGACTAAGTCCCCGTGGCTGCCATGCAAGATGTACCAATGCGGAGGTTTGGATGCTGTATGCTACAACTATTGAGAGGGAACTTGAGGAATAATGTGATAGACAACATGATACAAGCCCCTATACTGTGCTTGTGGAGCGTGTCAGTGTCAGGGTGCGTCATGCACAAATGGCAGAACATCGCTCATCCTGCTGATGGGAAGCGGAAGAATCTGTGACAGCTCACGGTGTAGGGTTTAGGGTGTTTGGTTGTCCAGGTTTCCAGCCAGGCAACTAATCTTTGGCTTTTCTACTGTAGAGGCTTCCAGTTCGCGTTAGCCCAACTTCAACCAGCACGTAATGTAGGGGCCTACATAATTACCACCTACTTTTCCGGGTTCCTTACAGTAAAACATACCCCAAAACCCTAGTATGGTTATAGTCTAGGACATACGCCAAAATCCTCTTCTAATTATTTAGGCCCCTATATTCTGCTAACAGCCAGAGGTAAAGATCCGACAAAGGTTCCCATTACTCGTAGGGGTTTCCACAAGTTGATCTAGAAAGGGGACCCCTCTTAGCCCTAAGCCCGGAACCTCTCAACCCCCAAAACCCTAAATCCCCATGTAAATCCTGGATCGCGCAGCTCCTACAGGAACGTCTTGAAGCTGGGCCAAGAGCGGCACTGCGACGCCCTTCGACTGCTTACATGATATTGATGCCATCATATCTGGTACAGGGTTTTGGGTTTTAGTTTTTAGCATAAGTATACAGTGGAAAAATAGGCCCTAAGGCAGCCATGTTCGTAATCATTCAGGCCCCTTACTAGGTCATTCTTGCTGAGTTGAATTTAATCCAAGTTCTGATAGCCGGGAGACAGGCACGGAATTAAAACTTGAAGCCCGGACTAAACCCCAAACCCCAAACCAAAGAAGCCCTAAACCCCAAACCGTAGCTTGCCATCCTTATACAAGTTAGTAACATTAAACCCTAAACCCTAAACACTAAGACCCAAACCCTAAACCCTTAACCCTAAAAGGAGAGTCAAAGAGTCTCGATATTATGTGGCTTCTGGAGCTACTTGCTCCCAAGGTCACACCGGTTCCGCTTTTTCGCGTTTCAGGGATAGCGTTTAGGGGTTGGGCCGGTAGGATTTAATGTAGCGTCCTTAATAACTAGAATAGGGTTCCTTTAAAGGGTTCTTGAAAGGGGTCTATAGGGGTTACTGTAGTGGCTACTGTAAGGGTTTAGGGTCTAGGGGCCTTGATAATTTCAATACGGTTTTTGGGGTTCCTGATTATCGTTATAGTATTATGGGCCCAAAAACCCTATTCTAATTATTAAGGCCCTTAAATTAGGGTGTATAGGTTGGTCTTCAGGGTTTATAAGGTTTGTCGGTTTACAGGGCTTGCAGGCTTCATTGGGTTCGCGGGGTTTAGGTTTCTTCTGGGTTTGGGACCCAGGGCCTGCGGGATTTGGGTTTTTGTGTTTGGGGTCGGTTTAGGATCTACGGAGGTTCACGAGCACCCGAAACCCTAAACCCTGGCTCATACTTTGGACATGGTCGCATGTCCGGCAAAAACTATGAAAAGCCAACGCCCTGAGTCTCGAGCCCAAAACCCTAAGCTTAAATATCTCCAATAAGGTAACCAAGTCTCAAGCCCAGTCGCGAACAACAAAAACAAGGCATCCTCAACTACCCCAGACTCCAAAACAATCCCAAACCCCATACCCTGAGCCCAATTTCCCTAAACCCTGAACCCCACCCGAAGCCCCATGACCCTAAACCCTAAACCTGAGGCATACCGACGCGTGTTGGAGAAGCGGAAGGTTGAGGCCGCCAAGGAAGCAGCGTCCGGCGCAACGTGAAAAAGGGAGGGGGATTCAGGGTTTCGGGCTTGATGGGTGTATGGCAAGTATAGAGCTTGCGCTTTCTAGAGCCACGGGCCAGTCTAGGGCATCATGTGGAGTGATCAGGATTTTTTGCGGTTTAGAGTTCTGGATTTCGAGATTATAGGCTTTTGGTGTTCAGGGCTTGTGTTTGCCTCTAAAGGAACCGGGTCTTGGGGTTCGGGCTTAGGAGTTTAGGGGTTTAGGGCTTAGGGCTTAGCGTTTAGGGTTTTGGGATTGTAAAACTACTAGTTACTGGGATCCCTTTCTCGAAGTCTTGTTCCTGTGTTTCCTCGCCTGCACGTATAGGGGTAGAGATATTAATTGTTTACCACTCGTCTAAACCCTAAGCCCTAAACCCTACACCCCCAACCCCTAAACCCTAAGCCCTAAACCCTACACCCCCAACCCCTAAACCCCAGGCCCTAAACCCTAAACCCCGGTTCGAAGTCTGCAGGCTCTCGTTCCCTTGGCGTTTAGCGCAGACCGCCAACCCAAAGCCCGAGGTCCAAAAGCATTCAACTTCTCAATCGCAGCCCTAAAACGGTTTAGGGTTTAGGGCTTTTAGGGTTTAGGTTTTAGGGTTTAGGGTTCAGTGTTTTTAGGGTTTAGGGTTATAGGGTTTCTGGAAACCTTAGCGGACCCTTGTAGAACCCCCTTCTTTTGGAGACGCAAAAGAATCCGCAAAGGAGCCCCAAACCCTAAACGCCAAATCCCTCGTGAAACCTTGAACGAACCCGAAAAGGAACCCCTAGATTTCTCTAAATTAGGGTCCCATTTAGGTCCCCATTATAGTACGGCACCCTTATAAAAGGGTTTTCAAAAGGGACCCGAATTTAGAGAACTACCCTCCAAGAAACCCTTGGAGGACCCCTTCGGGGACCCGGGAAGGAGCCGTGAAAGAGCCTCCTCCTTAGGGCTCCTTTACGGGCTCCAGGGTTTAGGGTTTAGGGTTTTTAGGGTTTAGGGTTTAGGCTTTAGGGTTTAGGGTTTAGGGTTTAGGGTTTCGGGCTTAGGGCCTAAACCCTAAACCCTAAAAAGCCCTTATAAAGGAACCCAAACCCAAACTTGCGTTCTATGAAGCTGGGCTCAAGAGTTACTGAGCCGGCACATCTGTCGCCAGGTGCGCGGAGGGCGAAGGGCCTTTGGTGATTTTTAAGTCGTTCCTTTAAAGACTTCTTGAAGGATGCGTTGAAGGGTCTTAAACCCGAAACCCTAAACCCTAAACCAAAACCCCTGTTCCTTTAAAGGTTCTCGAGTTCTGAGATTTGTGGAGGGTTTTTTTCGGGAGGCGTTTGAAGGGATCTAGGGCCTTCCGGGCGATTACAAGACGGGTCGCCTACTGCTTAGGCTGCAAGCTGAAATTACAGGTTTCTAGGTTCAGGGTTCAGGGTTTAGGGTTTAGGAGGGTTTAGGGTTTAGGGTTTAGAGCTGAGGTTTAGGAGTTAGAGTTGAGAAGAGGATTACAGGATCAAGGGCTGAGGATTCAGGGTTTGGGATTCAGGGTTTAGGATTAAAGGCTCGGAGAGTAGAGGACAATGCCCTAAACCCTAAACCCTAAACCCTAAACCCTAAACCCTAAACCCTAAACCCTAAACCAGGACAATGCCCTAAACCCTAATCCCTTACAAGCCGGAACGCCGAAGACCTAAAAGCCCTAAACCCCAAACCCGCAAACCAAAAGCCCCAAACCCCAAACGGTAAAGCCTCAAAGCCCGCCAAACCCCGAGCCCTGAACCTCCAAACCCTAGTTTCTTAAACTTTATCCTTTCAGGGTCCTTAAAGGCACCCCTCAAAAGACAATTTTATTTATTCTTGGAGGAGTCTTCTTACGACCCAGAAAGCGTAGAAATCATGTGCTTTGTGGCGCTGGCTCGCGTGGCTGTGTTTGCGCGAGTGGAACTCCAGCCAAATATCGTTGTTCAAGGTTACTGTCTCCGTCACCGAAAAAGCAGATGGCGTGGCAGCATTCGCTTCCACCAGAGAGCAGCGATGCCGAAATGGTGGGCTCACCATCTGGGTGCTTGGGGTCCTGCGCTATCCCTCAACGGAGCCCCAGACCCTCAACCCTCAACTCTAAACCCTAAACTCCCTAAATCCCTAAATCCCTAAGCCCTCTACACCCAAAAGCCTAAACTGCCTGAACCTTAAACCCCTAAACCCTAAACTCCCTAAATCCCTAAACCCTAAACCCTAAACCCCTTTAAAACGAACGAAGCCTCGGATCGGAGCTCAAGGATGGCCCGGCGCGCGCTCGCCGCAGCCCTGGCCTTGGCCGTGGCGGGATCGGATCCACAGCCGGTCCGGAAGCCCAGTTTAGGGTTTAGGGTTTAGGGGTTTAGGGATTTAGGAGTTTAGGGTTTAGGGTTTAGGGGTTTAGGGATTTAGGGGTTTAGGGTTTAGGGTTTAGGGATTAGGGTTTAGGGCTTCGTAGGGTATGAGTAGGGTTTAGGGCTTTAGGGCTTTGGGGCTTTAGGGCTTTGGGGTTTAGGGGTTGAGGGGTTTAGGGTTTTTGGGTTTTTTTTGGGGTGGTTTAGGGGTTCGGGTTGAGGGTTTAGGGTTTAGGGTTGATAGTTCAGGGGTTTGGGGGTTTCGGGCTTTCCTGGGCCTCAAGCAACCTACCCTTGTCAGGATTCCTTAGTTTGATTTCCTTACACAAGTGCCTAAAAAGGCAGGTTTCAAAGGGTCCAGGTTGAGGGGAAGTGAAACGAAGTTCAGGGTTTAGGGTTTTGCGGCTCAGGGTTTCAAGGTTTAGTGTTTAGAGACTTGTGACATGCACCTTGGGGTCTATTTGGCGACCCTTTTCGGTTGTTTATTCAATCTGTGACGCTTCTAGGGTTTAAGGGGTTTAGGATAAAGGTTTAAGGGCTTAGGGTTTAGAGATTGAGGGTTTGGGGGTTTGGGGTTTAGGGATTACGGGTTTAGGGTTTGCGGTTTTAGGGTTCGGGAATTGTTTAGAGCTTGGGGTTTAATGTGATTCATAAAGCCCTTCTCCTTATGAAGTATTTTGATGGCATCCTGATGTCGGGTTCAGAGATTGAGCTTGTTGAGGTTTCAGGATGTTTCTGGGCTTGGGGGTTGCCGCGGCTTTATGGTCTAGTGTTTGGAGTGCTTAGGTTGTCTTTTGCCGGACTGTCGGGGGCATCTTAAGAGCTGTGGTGGTGGTACTGAGGGACCCATAAAGGTCCCCAAAGACAGACAGAAACATAAGCTTGTGAAACCTCTCTTTGGTACCTAACACTGCGTAACCCCTGCAGTCTGAGCACGTTTAGGTCCACGGTTTAGGGTTTAGGGTTTAGGGTTTAGGGTTTAGGGTTTAGGGTTTAGGTGCTTTCTTGGGCTCTAATGTACAGCTGGTAGGCTGGCGATTTCGGCTGTTGGGGCTTTGAAAGCATGTGGTTCAAGAGCAGACCATGAAAGCCACTCCCCACATCGAAAGCGCGAAGTTCAGGCAGGTGGCAGCTTTGACCAGTCAATGTTCCCTCCCAGGGTTGCACCTACTTAGTTGTCATTTATATTCCGAAACACGAACCTGGAATTTCTTCCATCCTTAACGAAAAGAACTACTATCCTTCTCGTTAACCCGGACTTTCTGCACTCCTTACACTAGAGTTTCTACCATCCTCAACCTAGAACTACCGCCTTTAGCAACTTTGGACACTGCGGGTCTGACCGAAGCCATAAATCCTAAACCAAAGCCTTCAACGCTAAGCCTCTAAGCCCCCTAAACCCCAAAGCCCTCAAACTCTAAACCCCTAAACCCCTGACCCTCACCCTTAACCCTAAAGTCCGGGGCTAAACCCGAAACCCTAAACCCTAAACCCTAAACCCTAAACCTTAAACCCGAAACACCTAGTCTGGGTCTGACGACCTTTCAGGCTCGCCGCCTTCAGTTCGAAGCTGAGGAGTCTGGATCCTTTCGAACGGGGGCTGGAATGGAGTCAAGCCTTTTGGGGTGTAGGATCTGGGTGTAGGGTTTAGGGTTTAGGGTCTGGGTTTAGGGTCCAGGGTTTGGGGTCTGGGTTTAGGGTCCAGGGTTTGGGGTTGAGGGTTGAGGGTTTAGGGTTTATGGTTTAGGGTTTAGGGTCTGGGTTTGGGGTCCAGGGTTTGGGGTCTGGGGTTCATGGAGTTTTGGAGCGTATTTAGTTCCTGACTAACTTTGCTATGGTATATCCTCTCCGAGAGCCTATTCCAGTTCTTGAGGCCCAGCTACTAACTCCTAGCAGCAGCCAATGCGCATGTCATGTCACGGAAACCCTAAACCCTAAACCTTAACCCTAAACCCTAAACAGTGACCCAACATCATCGGATCACGAGTGGGCTTTGCCTGAAGTAAAAACCTAGGCCCCCTTTAAAGCCCTCTTGTGAACCCTTGTAAACCCAAAGCCCTTTGAAGCCGGAGACGTTAAGCAAGGCCATGGCGGACCACCTTAAGCCCTGAGCCCTAAACCCTAAACCGTAAGCCCTAAGCCCTAAACCCTAAACCCGAAACCCGTAACCTTTTAACCCTAAACCCGAAACCCTTAGCCCTAAACCCTAAACTCTTAACCTCAAAACCCTAAACCCTAAACTCTAAACCCTTAGCCCTCAGCCCTAAACCCTAAACCCGACTCGCAGGGAGACCTGGATCCATCACTTCGGAACAGGGCTCTCCTGGGATGGTCATCAACTTAGGGCTTGGTGGTTCGGGTTTCGGGTTTAGAGTCTCGGGTTTAGGGTTTAGGGTCTCGGGTTTAGGGTTTAGGGTCTCGGGTTTAGGGTTTAGGGTCTCGGGTTTTGGGTGTCTGGTTTAGGGTTTAGGGTCTCGGGTTTAAGGTTTAGGGTTTCGGGTGTAGGGTTTCGGGTGTAGGGTTTAGGGTCATGAATGTTTATTCTGAAACTCGAGAAGATATTTCGTTGCCCGGTATTGCTTCAAGATTTTCAGGCCATTTCGCGGTTTGCTTTGTTATCTTTGCGGTATGTCCTGCATGTGTTGCATC